TCACCGGAAACGGAAGTTTGGTCAGTTTCTTTAACGTTAAGGGAGCTCGACTGAAAACAATCATCATGTCTGGAATGATACAGTCACTGTTTATTTCCAAATCTCATCGGAAAATGTACCTCAACATCCGGTCTGAGTATGTACTCTGTACGGATATGCGTGGAAACCGGGAATATAAGTACAAACACGACGATTTACAAGAAATAGGGGGCGTGTCCGCGGACAACAGGTCCCTGGCATACGCATGTGGTTCTAAATCTAACAATGTCCATCAGATTGGTCCAGATGGGCGCTTGGTTAGGATTATACTCTCCAAAGACAAGGGACTGACGAAACCCATCGCTGTTGGTTTTGACAGTACGTGCTCAAAAATGTTCCTCATCGAAAAAGATGATACATTGAAAGAGGCAGTGAAAGTTTATAGCATGAATTACTAAAAATCTTTAAAATAGTTATTTTTCAAAGGGGATTTTTTGTTTTTTGTTTTATTTATTTATATATGTAGTTACAGAAACAAATAAAAGCAGAGTAAATGTACTACATTGTCACGATTTTTTTTTCAAATAATGCGAACGGCACTGATCGAAAAGTGTGCCAGTGATGCACTAGAAAATGATAATAAAGGTCAAAGACGTCAACATTTTAAAATTTTATTACAATCTTAACAAGAATTCGAGGTCAACGACCAATATGGAAGCTTTCTATCCTGTTATCGGAAAAAATTTCGTAGTTATGTTAGGTTTTATGTGTATTGTGTTTCTGAAATGTATCGACAACGATTTACGCATATGATAATGTTTTAAATTGTAAATCTTTTGTGCGGTAGATATATGTGACTTCTTTATCTCTATCAAAGTGATCTAAGACGAATAGGAGTACTGGCAGTATGGGAGAAGGTGCTGGTCTATAATTTTAAGGTAATCCGATCCCTAGGTTTTGAAATTCAGGATCTGAGTATTTGAAAGTTTACAATTGAAAATGTAACAAATGTCTCAGAATTTTCATCTATAGTTGTGTGTATTTAACCGTGGTTTTTCCATATTCCTCGTCATAGTTAATCATATCACTAGTATATACTAGTAGGGGGATTTGAGTATTTGAAAGTTTACAATTGAAAATGTAACAAATGTCTCAGAATTTTCAAAGTTGTGTGTATTCGATTTTCAGTTAATCATAACGTATATACCAATCAAAATTGCGAAAAATGCGTTTTTATGCGCCCGAATTTATTCGGGGCGCATATTGTTTTTGTCCTGTTGGTCTGTTTGTCTGTCTTTTTGTCTGTTTATCTGTTTGTCTGTCTGTTGTCAACTTTAACCTTCGCCATAACTTTTGAACCGTGAGAGATAGACTTCATATTTAGTATGCATACTCCACTAATTAAGCACTTTCAACTGACATCAAGGTCAATGTCCTTGTGACCTTGACTGTGACCTTTATGCTAAAAATAGCTTTTTCGAACTTTCGCCAGAACTTTTGAACCGTGAAAGATACAGACTTCATATTTGGTAGACATACTCCACTAATTAAACACTTTTACCAGACACCAAGGTCAATGACCTTGTGACCTTGACTGTGACCTATATGCTAAAAATATATTTTTTCGAATTTTCGCCATAACTTTTTAACAATAGGAGATAGAGACTTTACATTTGGTATGCTTACTCAACTAATTAAGTGCTTCCAAATGACACCAAGGACAATGATCATGTGACCTTGACTGTGACCTATTTGCTAAAAATTGCTTTTTAGAACTTTATTGCCACCGGGCGCATAGTGTTTCATAAACACATCTTGTTCTATTTGAATATTGAACGACAATATATGAGGATAAAAAATACGAAGTATCCAGGTTATGAGAAAAATTTGCATTTTTTAGTACTTTAATATACTGGTATCCTATTGTAGGTCTTCTATTTACTTCAATTGTTATATAATGCTTATGTTGTCATATCAAGACATCACATACGATATCAATTTGATTTCATAGCACGCAAAGAAATGGTATATAAGGGTAGATTAAAGGAAATTACATTTCTGTAAAATAATTTTTTTGGTACAAATGTCAACTTTTTAGATGGTTGTTCTAATCTTTTGAAGAAATTAGAATCATATAAAAAAGATATATTATTTTCAAAAAGTTGCATGAAAAGTTTTCTTCTTACACTAAATAGTAATTTTTAAGAAGAGTTATCGTTCCTCGCTGGAGAGCAGGTACATCTTTAAGTCACGAGAGATTTTCAAAAAAAAGTACTTGTATTAATGTCTGAGAGAAGGGAGGGAGGGATAGACATTAATACAAGCAAATTTAAAGAATTGCGGCCCCCGCTTTCGGTGTCTTTGTGGGGGAGATGTTGTTTTTTATGACATATTGTGTGTAATATGAACACCCTATCATATGTCAATTATTTAGAAATTATCATTGAAGTTGATTTTTTTTAAAAAATAGAATCAATCGTGAAGGTCAAGGTCAAGGGGTAAGAAATCATAGCATGCTCGGAATTATCTTGTCACAGGTAATGCATATGTCAAATTGTGAAATACAAAATCCCTGGCTACACCTGTTCAAAAGTTATAGTCGAGGATACGTTTTTGAAAAGTAGGTCAAACTCCAAGCTGAAAGGGTCTTGTCACAAGAAATACCGGTACAAACTACAGTATGTGAGGGGTGAAAACCCTAACCCTAACCGTTTAAGAGCTACGGCCAAGGTTAAAGTTTTTTAAAAGTAAGTCAAGGTCAAGGTCAAAGGGTTAAAGTTCTTGATATTCAATGAAAGGTCTTCTCACAAGGATTACATATCTGAAGTACGAAAGTCCTAGCCCTTACCATTCAAAAGTTATGGCCAAGGTTAAAGTTTTTTCATAAGTACGAAGATCTCCAAGGTCAAGTTCAAAAGGTCAAAGTTGTTGGTATCCAAAGAAAGGTCTTGCCACAAAGAATACAGATTTTTAATACGAAAGTTCTAGTATCTACCGTTCAAAAGTTGTGACCAAGGTTAAATTTTTAAAAAGTAGTTAAAATCCAAGGTCAAGGTCAAAGGGTCAATGTTCTTGGTATCCAATGAAAGGTCTTTTCACAAGAATTACATATGTAATGTATGAAAGCCCTATCCCTAACCATTCAAAAGTTATGGTCAAGGTTAAAGTTTTTGCATAAGTACGGAAATCTCCAAGGTCAAGGTCAAAAGGTCAAAGTTGTTGGTATCCAATAAAGGTCTTGCTACAAAGAATATATACTTTATATGAAATATGAAAGTCTTTGTACTTACCATTCAAAAGTTATGGCCAAAGTTAAAGTTTGGAATTTTTGTGTTAAAGTGGGTCAATTTCCAAGGTCAAGGTCAAAAGGTCTAATTTGGTGGTACCCAAAGAAAGGTCTTGTCACAAGGAATACACATGTAAAATATGAAAGTCATAGCTCCACTAAATCAAAAATTATGGGCAAGGTTAAAGTTTTTTGTGACGGACAGACAGACAGACGAATGAGATTTAATGTCCTCTCGCTTTCGCAAAAGCGGTGGAAAACAATGTATTAGATTGCGTAAACTATTTTGCTAATAAAGTATAACATTTTGTAGCATTAGGAAAATACTTTTAAAAATATGAAGTTACAACTGTGCCAAATCAAGATTTACTAAAAGAGCTCTGTCACTTTTAAAGTTAATAGTTAAAAGAACTTTGGTTACAAATTAAGAATTCTTTTAGGATATTACCTCTCATTTTGCTCATTTTCATTTTTATCAGAGTGTCTGATGTTCGTCTTTTGAATGTCATTTGTAAACGTTCATATATTTAGCTTCCCATCCACAACGTTGTAGTATTTGGGAAAGTCATTAAAATATCCTCAAGAACTTTGGCATGATAAGTCATTTTAATGTACAAGCACTCTCATAGCTTGGCCAATCCACAGTCCATGGGAATAGGATTTTTTTCTTCTTCAAAAAATTGGTCTCTTAAAACAAAAGGGCGGGGAAATAAATGTGGATAATTTTTCTTACAATCAAATACCGTATTCATCGAGGGAAAGTTATCTTCTTTGGAACAGTAAAATATTGTTCGCAATGCTGATATTAAGGCATCCCCTTGTTGTATGGATTCAAGTTCATTTTGAGACTTTTTGAATTAAATTGCAAATTAAAGAGTTATCCTTCCTAGCTGAAAATCGGAGTGCCTTAAATATTTCGGTGGGTAAAAGGAAAAAAGATCAGAATAATTATTAAAGCTTATATCGAAATCAATCTCATTAAAATTAGAAAAATTCACATTCAACGCTCACTGTTGGTTTCTTACGTTTTCATGCCTTGTATATGATAATATGCACGAGTATATTGAATTATTCCTGTTATGTATAAATTACGTAAATACACCACCATATGCATCGGGCGTGGAATGTCTGGGTGTTAATGAAGACCGCCAGGGTTTATTAATTAGTTCCTAATGGCATAAAGAATTCTGCCCTCTGCTGACCATTACCTAATTACGTCATTTGAAGCGCCTATACATCACGCGGTAATTGTCAGAAGGAATTTCCACTGACGCGAGCAGATTTGTTGGAATATTGAATAAATATTAAGACGGTTGTGCCATCTGATTTCTCTAGAGTTTGATAAATTCAATATGAAAATTGGCTTCAAGTCTATAATCATAACGATGAAAGAAAAACTAAATCTCTCACAGTGAAATTTGTCTCTATTCTGCGATAAAAAATCAAACCATCCATCGAAATTAATGTAAAATAATGCAAAATAATGTTCTGCATGATTTTACCAAAGACATTTTCTGCACATGATGGCATTTTTTAAAGTAAATTTTCTTTAAAGAGTTATTGAAACATCGCTTTGCTTTCAGTGATTCGTGCACGATGTTTTTAACGCCTAAATAAAAACAAAAATTTTGACTCAGCATATTTTTTTCACCGAAAAACTTTAATTGAATTCCCTTCATTACTCCACAGTTTATCATCATGATAACACGTAGATATAATCGGACGGAGGAGAGATCGCCAAAATATCAGGCTCCACATAGGCATCTGGTCATCTCTCCACGACCGTGTATTAACTTTCTCAGCGTGTGCTCCTTGAGACGAAATGATGGACATTGTTATAAGTTTCTGTTGTTCCTGAAGCACCTCACGGGACGACAGGCAGACGGCAGCGCGCCTCTCCACTGCTGATATCAGACTAACATGTAATTCGAGGGTGATGCTATGGTTTATGATATACGGCTAGTTTTATGTGTTCTACGATAGGCGGATAGGACTTACGTAAGGTTCAAGCTAGCCCTGTGAAACAGTTAGATATTGGTTATTGTCACAAGATGAGAAAATCTTAGGAGTATTTGCGGGATTTTTGATTTTACCCAGTGTGATGGAGGACGATTCTTCAACAAATCTAGAGTTACGACAAAGTTCGTCGAGTAAACAATCATCTATCAGAAGTGCTCCCAAGCCTCAACGAAAGGAGTCGTCTGATTCAGTTCGTAAAAATTCAGACAATAGTGCAAAAAGTTCAATCAAAAAAGGATTCCAATCTACAGCCAGTATAAGATCAGGACTTGAAGCTGGGCAGACGACAAGAAATGGAAAGGACTATTACGATGAGGCCAGAAAAACGGTCGAAAACCAGAATCGGGACACTTTTGACACACCAGTTTTGGAGAGCAAACCTCCGAATTATCTTTGGTTGGCACTTTTTACGACCATATTCTTTAACCCTCTAACAGGAATCGTTGCATTGGTTATGGCCAGTAAGTATTAGAATGTTTTTCATGTGATCTTCAATGCTCCTATCTTTACTTCTAAAGTCTTCTGTAGTTGCAGGCAATGTCAAAAACGTGTCTAGACCCATTATCCTTGCAAATGACAAGTTGTGATTAGTTTGTACTTACATAACGCTGCAGTTTCTTCTCCAAGAAGCTGTTACGATCTAGTTTAATTATCATATACCTAGGACTCTAATAGAATATGACAAAAGGTTAATTGCACTAAGATTAATTGTTCTTCGTATTAAGCATTTTCGCAATAACAATATCGCACCATAATAATAGACTAAGAGGAAAAATATGGGTGAACTTATTTGCCTGGCAACAAAGCGACTGACAAACTAATTAAAAGCATGCGAGTTTGTTTAAAATCATGTGGAGAGTTCGGTATGCATTCCTTTTTCTTGACATTTGTTATTTCTGAATAATCAAATTCATCAACTTAAAGTTATTTAGTTCTTAGTTTTAAAAAGATTTCTTAAAATATAATGAATAGATGTGACAATTATTACCCAGAAACTTTCTAAAATAGAATGCAAATGCCTGCTTGAAAACACAAAAATCGAACACATCTCGGAAGGGAGGAATTTAACTCAATTCCCGCCCTTAATTTTTAATAAATTTTTTGAAAACATGTCTCAGATAAAAAACATACCTGTAGTATACAAAATATACAGTATATCTATGTTGGTAGTGAGTTGGCGTTTTCTTTAACTTACGCAAGATCCTATCGAAGATGTCAGAACATCAAATCATATCAAGAACAAAGCTATAAAGTTAATGACTGAACGTAAAAAACAAACGATGGAAGATCACGCTCCCGAAACAAATCTCTGGTAATCTGGACAGATCTAATAGAGATAGGGATTATTATCGTCTAAGTTGTATTGGCGGGCTAATGACGACATCGCTTCATTGATACTGTCTGTGGCATAGAGCGATGAAGGGCACCTGCTTACGAGAATGATACTCACTTCACGATGTTGTGTTTATGTATTGGTTTACTGAGTGTAATTTGTAAACTCGTAAATTGTCAACAGATACCTTTGTAAAACAAAGCATAGCTTGATTATAGCATTTCGAACTAGGTCAAAGTTTGATATGAAAGAGGTAATTTGTGACCGGAAAGTAATATGAAGTCCATCATGTTTCTCGAAAGATGCAGGTCTTCAAAAGTTTAGTTTGTTTACTAATTCTGTAAACATACACCGTCAATGAAAGTACAAAGCTTTGTTCTGCCAAATATAAAAGAAATGTATTCCTTTAATGAAGACCCAAACTGAACATTGCATACACACAACGCAAGGAATTTTGAATAGAAGTTGATTATTTTTTTTTTCAATTTATTTGATACCTTTATACGTGAAGGACAAGGTGATTTTTCTTCATCAAAACATTTTGATTTAAAAAACTTTAATTTATAGGGTTCAACTCTACTAATAAAACAATTTTTATGAGAACAATTTTTGCGTTAGTTATACATGTAGTTAAACATAATTTTCACTTGGAATTACACAAAAATGTTCCCGTTTTTCACTTTTTACCCTCACTTTTTCTCTCTCTTTTCCCCCAATTACCTTGATCCATTAGGCTGCAGTAATTACCTACATATGTGCACATGTTGTAAAGCACAAGATAAACAAAGAATGGGGGATGTTCACTGCCTCGTTAACTCGTATATCCTATTGTCCAACCAGATAAATGCTTGTTCATCAGTGTAAACTTAACTAAAGCCCTTACTGCCAGATTTACTTACTTTGAAGAATACTTTGTTGTAAAGTAGGCATTCATTGACCAAAACTACAGTAATATTACGTGTTTGTAGATGAGGTAGAATTAATGATTACGTTGGTATGTCTAGTCATGCAATTTTTTTTTTCATCTTTTTCCCCCGAGAAACTGCATTATGCATTCTGTTTTCTTAACTTCCTTTTTAAAAATCTTTTAAAATAAAACTGAAATAAAAATATATAAAGCTCCCGTATTGCTTATATTTTGAGACCTGGAACTGTTTAAAATCAGACATCCTTTGTTTGATTTTTGAGGGTATGCTTATTTTGCAATTATTTTATATTCTCATTCATTTTTTACCGGCACTGGAACAAAAAAGAAAGAATAGTTTGTTAATGACCACACACAGTGGTAGACAAAATTCTGAAGGCGATGCATTTTGGTATACGCCCTTATCACTTTTTTGGGAATTTCAAATAACGTCATTTTGAAGATCTAATAAAGCCATGTTTTTAATTTCTATTTCAGTTCAAGCAGATAACGAGTACATCAATGGAAATTCCGCCAAGTGTAGGAGACTGGGCAAGATCGTCCGTGTGATATCGATTGTATCGATACTATTGACGATTATCATCATCACGATCGTCAGTATCGTCCTCAACATTTAGCTGTCGTCTGCTCCTCGCTCCATGTCTTCCTCAGGGATCGATTCTCGCCTTGTGATTTATTAATAAGTGGAATAATCTCCACATATAAGATATATTAAATTTTAATTCTAGTTTGTCTTCCATGTAAATGTTTACTGTGCTTATTTATGATTATTATCCAAATTTCTTCAACCTCCAGACTAAGATGAAACTGTGCATTCATTTTACAGATGTATGTGTATATACTTGAAAAATATGACGATGAATGTTTATACTTAGATAATAAACCAGATTCTTTTTGTTATCCTTATTTTGTTATCCACTTGTTTCTGTCTTTAAGGAAAATATACAGGATTACTGAAGATCAATTTTTGAAGCAATTTAATAGATTACAATATACATTTATTGACTGGATTCGAGGGCAATTTGTGCCATGGTTTTGTACGACCATATATAGAACCAAACTGTTTGCTTCAGGCCGTTAGCAGTAAACAGTTTGGTGCGAGGGCCAACAAGCGCATTTCCCCTAGGTAGAACACAGTCAATAAATGTTTTGTAATACCTTTTTTACATGCATGCATCTTGTTCTGCTTCCGTGATTTAAACAGAGGTTAAAAGAGGTTAAATTTTTTTCTGGGAAATTCAACTATACTGTAACAATTTTTTTCAGTGTGCAGTGTTAATTTTTAGTTTTTTGTAAACCTTTCTGCTTCATATACACTAGAATGTCACAAGTTGATTTTAATTAAAAAGACATATCCCACTGTACATTGAAACTTTTTTGTATACAGTGGGATAGCGGTCCAACAATGTATACATGTATATACTTATCATGAAAAAAATTGGAGATAGTATTGCAGCAAATCCTTGACCCAAGCGCCTAAGGGGAAATATGTCCCTGTCGAACACCAACGAATGCAATGAAATTAAGCTCCGCCCATTGTGTGACGTAAGCGGTCCAACAATGTGTACATGTATATACTTATCATGTGGAGATAGTATTGCAGCAAATGGGGAAATATTCTAACTCAAAAAAGCCAATTGCAGAATGCTACCCATATGTTAATATTTTTTTCTAACTCAAAAAAGGTTATTGCGTGCTACCCATATGTTATTAATTTGTTTTCTAAATGCAGATTTGTTATAATCATCCAGATCTATAATTTTACTTCTTTGAAAATAAAGAACTGATCTCTCGAAGAATCCAAAATTTATACTGATTTTATATTACACCGGATATGCATCGTAATCATGAATCGTCTCTGTATATCAACAGACAAGTCAAAAAAACAAAACCAGTGTTATGCAATAAGCTGACCTGTTGACCCTGCCTTCCCACGCATCTCGTGCACTGCTCCGTATTGCGGATCTGTACCAAATTCATGCTGATCTGTAAAAACCGAGTAACCTTTATGTCTGCGGAATTTTCAGGCTAATACAGAAATCTTGTTTAATATAACTCGTTTGCTTGTCTCTATCTTTTATTTAAAAATTCAGATAAAAAAAATTATTTAATTTTTGTTTCAACTGTGTAAAAGAGGAGGGGTTATATAAACTCTTCGATCAATGTTTTGATGTTAAAAGATGTACTATATACATGATGCTATCATTCATAAAATGGATCATGAGGATGATGCAATATATTTTGACCTGTTACAAATTTCATAGTGTTATAGTTGCGTCATACATTCTAGATAGTTTGTTTTAAAAAGTTCATTTGCAAAAAGTATCAAACAAAAAAGAAAAATTATTAATAACTAGATGAGATCTCGTTGCGAGCAACGAGTAGGTCTTCCGTTGAATTTCTCGATGAGATGAGATGTGATTTTGACTGAGATATTCGTTTAAAGAGAATGACATGAAGTTTTCCTTCATTCAATTTAAAGTTTCTGATTTTCAACACGATATTCTGAGCATATTTTGTTTAATATGGCTTATAAAAATACTCCCCTTTTTCTAGACGTAAAGCATAAAAATGTAGCATTTTGGCACTTGTGACCACTTATTACGTAACATATGATCCAAATTTTTTTATTGTTGCAAATAAGATATATTGTATCACAAAATATTGCAAATCTTGATATCAAATGAAAGGTCTTGTGATTTCAAAGACTTTTTGTTCAACACTTACTCAGAGATTTCTTTTCGTTGTTGAGATATATATGCAAAATGGAAATATTATGGGGCCACTCCTACAATGTATCACAAAATATTGATCATTCCGACCAACTTTAGTTCAATATTGCTAATAAAAATATTCCCTCTTTTCAAGATATGAAGTGTCAAATAAAACCCCTAATTACGTAACATATGATCCAAATTTAATCATATATTGTTGCAAATCGTTAAGATGAATACTTTTGCTTCAGTAATGTATTACACAATATTGATCATTAGAGAGTTATAGATAAAAGACCTTTAGCCCCTCTGAGCCCCTAATTTGAGGAGTCAGCCCCTTTTCCTGATACCAAATGAAAGGTCTTGTGATTGTGAAGATTTTTTGTTCAACACTTATTCAGAGATTTCTTTTCGTTGTGGAGATATGCTAACTTGATTTATTTAGGGGCCATCGCTCAAGGTCCTTAATGGGGTCGTTTTACAAAAATTCAAAGTATGCATATTGTTGAAAACATTTTACTGACCAACTTTTGTTCAATATTGTTTATCAAAATATTCCCCCTTTTTGAGATATAAAGCGTCAAAGATTTGACATTCTTACCCCTTGTGACCCTTATTACGCAAGATATGCTTAAAAGTTTATAACATTTTGTTGCAAATGGTCTAAAATTAAAAAATATCGAAAAATCGAGCAGAAAAAAATGATAAAATTTTTGGACACACGGGGGATCGAACCCGAGTCGCCCGTGTGACAATCCAACGCGCTAACCATTTAGCCATTGGGATCGCCGCTTCGAGTTTTCAAATGCAAATATCTCGAGATTGGCTTTTCCTATTTTCAAACAAATTACATACTTGGCTTCTGCAAAAGAATCTTTATTCAAATCAAAAATTAAAATATTAAAAAACAAAAGTTGAAAAATTGCGTTTTTTAAATTCGCTTCCGGAAGCGACCGGAAGTATTGACGACGCACAAAAATATTATTCTGCAACGCTATAAGTCAAGAACTATCATCTCCAATAAGTTTCCACTTCATATGTTAAACAATTTTCGCTACTAAGTCAAGACAAAATTGCATTTTAAAATCAGAAAATTGTCTATATCTCGCGACCGGAAGTGACGTCATCACTTGATTAGCTATAACATATGAAAATTTCATGTAAATCGACCGAGCCGTTTCGAAGAAATCGCGTGCACAAAATCGGTTGGAATAATAAATAATAATAGGGAAAAAGAAACCGAACGAAAACAATAAGGTCTTCCGTTGGAAACGGAAGACCTTAATAAACTGTTTAGTTTTTTTAGCTCACCTGAGTCGAGAACTGAGCTTTCTGATCACATTTGTCTGGTGTCTGTCTGTTCGCCTGTCTCGCTGTCTGTCTGTCTTAAAATTTTCACATTTTAGACTTCTCATGAATCACTGTTATTATGTACCACTTTCAACGAAACTTATCACAAAGCATTCTTTGGGGAAGAGGAGAATGAGTAGTAGATTTATTCATTATTTAAATCAATGTATGATACAGGGTGGTACAAATATAAATAATGCATAAAATGAAAAACCTAATCACAGTAATAAAATTTCAAAAATAAATATAAAATTCTAAATACAGATGTTTAAAATATAAAGCAATTTGTGACATTTATAAATTTTATGAATAAAAATATATGCATTATATTGATATCAACATTAATTAATAAAAAGGATAACCCATGAAAGCAAAATTGCTTATTTCCAATGTTATAAATAAATAAGTGAATAAATAAAACAAAAAACTAACTAAACAACAAAATTAAGTAAGAGGATGTAGGGAAGATTTTGGCAGATACATTAATCAAAAAATAGGACAGGTATTAAAAAACCCTGTATCAAATTTGAAAATAAATTACACAAAGCATTTAAAATAAAAACAATACATTCATAGTTGTTAAAAATCAAAAATATATAAACGAACTCTCTTCACAGCTTTTAAAATCCTCCATTAGATACTTTTTTACACTGTTCTTAAAAGTTTCTTTACATTCTAAATTCTTAATAAAAAGAGGCAAGTCATTCCAATCTTTGATGGCATTGTAATAAAAAGTCTGATCTTGGCAATGTCTAATCGATGGCAATTTAAAGTTGTGGCTATTAGAGGATCTAGTATTAGAGTAATTATTACTTAAACTTGTAAAATTTGTTTCAAGATAAACAGGGGCTTTCTTATGAACAATATTAAAAACATGATTCAGTCTCATCTGTCTCATCAGGAGCATGAGGAGTACAGATTTGTTCAAATAAAAAGCCATGCCTTCTTCAAAGAGGAGATTTATTTAAACAATAAAATACTTTCTTTGTTATTATATATATATATATATATATATATATATATATATATATATATATATATATATATATATATATATATATATATATATATATATATATATATATATGGAAGTATTCTTTGCTAGTGTAGATTCAAATTTAATCAAATCATCGCCCCTGAGGGTAAGGTTGGGCCATAATGGGAGATCAAAGTTTAGGAAATAGTTTTAAAAACTTTCTCCTCTTGAACAGCAAAGCCATATGGAAGTATCAGGTAGTATGGATTCAAGTTAGTTTAACTCGGGACCACCTGGGGCAGGGGGCGATGATGGGGTATCAAATTTTCAGGTTATAATTCATGCTATTTAAATTCTCTTCTTAAGAACAGCAAGGCCATGAAACATTATACATTTATTGACTGAGTTCGAGGGCAACATGCGTGTTGTCGGACCCATGAACCAAACTGTCTGCCTGAGGCCTTAGGCCGTTTGGTCCGAGGCATTTTGCCCAAGAATACAGTCAATAAATGTTTTGTTATGCCTTTTATTTCAATATTTTTTTTGACATACAATCAATCATGTATCTTGTATCACTGTTGAACACCATCGAATACAAATGAGACTAAGCTCCGCCCATTGTGTGACGTAAGCGGTCCAACATCTCACTCGGCGGTCAAACATCGATTTTTTTATGTCCGCTTCGTAAAGCATTAGAAATGTTATACTTAATTTTTATCGTATATAGATTTGTTTAGGAATAACATTTTAAAGGTATAATAAACATTTATATGGAAGTATCCTTCGCTAGTTCAGATTCAATTTTGTTCCAATTCAAATCATGAACCCCTTGTTTCAAGGTTGGACCACAATAGGTGTTCAGGTGAGGGATATAGCCATGGACCTCTTGTTTCAATCACTACTATCACTACAACATATATGGATTTTAAATTAGGAATACATCCTATTGTTTAAGAATCTTCAGATAGAGATAGCAAATACGAGTGTCAATCAAATTGAAAATAATTTCACGAGACTTAGGATTGAATTAAGTCATAAAGAACAAATTATTGTAATTAATTTCAACTTCTGATTGAACCAGCTAAGTGAAAGTATTTTCAAATGAATAAGTTGGTCAGAATCCAAGGACAAGGTCAAGGGTTAAAAAATGTTGGTACCAAAGAAATGTCTTGTCACAATGAATACACATGTGAAGTATGAAAGTCCAATAGCACCAAGAATACAGATAGGTCATGTTCCAAGGTCCTAGTCTAGAAATTTCTTGTCATAAATAATAAGTGAAATCCAAATTTGTAGACAATTAAATTTTAATTTTACTATGTAGGTCAAACTTAAAGGCTTAGACCATGCTCCAAGACCATAAACTGAAAACAGACTTACGTCAAAATTTCACTTATAAGCACACGTGTTACATAGTAAGGAAGATGCTAAAAATAAAAAAAATGACTGAAGTCAATTCTCAGATAATGGTCTTGGGGTCGGAAGGTCACAGATGTTTCTACTTCAAAGAAGTTCTTGTCACAAGAAATATACATGCATGTGATATATGAAAGCCCTAGCACCAACTGTTCAAAAGTTATGGCTATATGGTAAAGTTTAAAGAAAAAATTTCGAACTCAAAGGAAAAGGTCACATGGTAAAATATTTTTGGTATCCAAAGAAAGGTCTGGTGACATAAATTAAATATGCAAAATGTAAAAGCTCTTAAAGGAATGCGAACATTTTTTTACCTTTATAACCTTTACCTTTAAAATTGACCAAAATAAATAAACTTTAATTATGCCTATAACTTAGGATCCGTTAAGTCTAGTGCTTTCAAATTTCATTTTATCATTCCTTACATATTCTTTCGACGAGACCAATCATTTAAAATATTTCTGAACGCATGACCTTGACATGGGAATATGACCTAGTTTCGGAAAACATTGTCTCATTTTCTCAATTCTTGATACTATGGCTTTCATAATTCATATTGTGAAAAGAGCTTTCCTTGGATACCTTAATATGAAAAACTTTTACCTTGACCTTTAGCTGTCATACGGGGTTTCAGTATTTCATAAACACATCTTGTTCTAAGTAGGTTATAAATGTTAATACGTATACTCTATATAGAAATGCAAGTAATTTGGTAATTTAACTAAGAAAATGTTTATTACGTATAATGAGATTTTGCATACATGAAATCTATAATATATACAGGAATTTGAGTTTTTTTTTTTTTTGGTGATTCCAAGTATAATCTTAATAATTCCAACTTTAATCTCGTTTTTTTCCAACTTTAAAGTTAGAAAAAAATATTATCTGGTCTACAGTTCGTAATAATTGAGAGAGAAATTTATAAATTGCTTAGTAACAATCATTGTTTCCACGCCGCGAAAAGGCGATGGGGAAATTAAACTTTTATACAATTTTTACACGCTAAATATTGGATTTTCGTCTCTTTTTAATAAGATGTGTTTTCAAGACTGCATGACCGACTTAAATTTTCAAGAATAAAAAGTTGAACATCTACAACGAATTTCAAATAAATGAAAAAATTTGGAATTTCTCTTTCTTTTTAAAATCTAATTTCAAATTGATTATTCAAGGATATAAATTTTGTAATGTCCTTTAATTAATTTTAAAAAATACGGCTTATTAACTCTATTAAATTTAAACGTGGTAATTCAAGGAATAGAAGAATTTGATATATTCTATATATTTGTTTAAAAAAGTTGAAGATATAACCAAAATATAACTCTGGTTCGCTGAAATTACAAACTGCAATTTTAAATTGATTAAAAAAATTTTTGAAATATTTTAATTGTGTTAGAGAAATAAAATAAGAAATTCTGAGATTTCTTTTTTTTTTTTACAGTGAGTTTATATATTTAAAAATTGACTGACTCATTGTTTTTTTTTTAGGAAAGAGGCTTATAATGAGACATCGGAAGACTGAGAACGCAATAGCATTGCCAGTCTAAAAGATATAAACTGCTGTTCACATTACCTCCCCCGCTTATTTTACTGAAGAGCTTGCCATGGGGTTGATAGATTGTTATTTTGATATTCTTTAACGTTTGTTACATAAAAAGTTTTCCAATGTAGTTGGTGCAAAGGATTTTCTGAAAGTTGTTAGAAGAACAAACTCAGCACCAAGATAAGAAGGGGGCGTGAAATAAGCACGCCGCCGGTTATTCCTAACTTCCTGTTGCCGTGTTGATATGCCGATACTTGTTAGTATTTAGAGTCAACAAACAGTCTAGACGAACTCCAAAAACAGCGTGAACACCAAAAAAGAAGTCTTTGGCTCCGTCATGCATTGCGGCAAAATGGCTTCCGATGTAAACAAACGATAGATTGTCGTTCGCTTTCTCCACAAATACGACTGAATAATGGCTGTATTTAGTAAACTGTGACTTGATTTTAATTTTTGTTGAATAAATAATTGTACCCATTAAATTATTTAGTGGTTATTGACTTATTTATCGCTCTGTATTCTTGCATAATAGTGATTTGGGATATACGTATGACACCCGGGATTCAATAAAGTCGGTAAGAATTAATTTTCTAACTTAATTTATTGTCCCATTGATTTAAATTTTATGCCATTCCCACTATAAAGATACTTAAATTTTACTTCTAAGACAGTTATATAGTATTTTTTTAAATGAAAAACTGCACAATTTTGGCGGCAGAGCAGAGATATTAACAGGTTCGATTTGAGAAGACTTTTTTACCGTAATTTTAAAAGAATGATTTTTTTTTTAGTTCTTAAACTCATAGATTATATAATTCTAAAAATGTTTCGTGAATATATCTATTCATATGTGAAAATATTAGGTATATAGCGATGGTGATAACTAACGCTCTCAATATTCAGATGTCATACAGGATTATATGACGAAATAATATTACAAATAGGTAAAAATTCGGTCAATGTTTAACAGTTACAACATGTATATTACATTGTTCAATTTTACGTATTTTCCCCTTTTATTATTATATATTTAATTCCCAAACGTTTATTTTTCTTTGTATTTGATCTAACTTGAAACGTGAACTTTCTTCAAAAAAGCCTCGGAGGAAATGTGGAAACTGAATGGATTCTCATGTATATACTGTCACCTGATCGACTCTTATTTATGATTAAAACCATCAATTCAGTACTTTTTTAATTATTGGTAAGATGTATTTACAATGCAGTTGCTCATTGCTGATCTAGACATGCTGAAATTCATTCGTACACGATAGACATGAAAGACAGAGGAAATTCGAACTGAAAATTCGCCAGCGTTCCTTACTTACAAAAAACTTCTAAAATCAGTAAAAGTAGTTCTAAAATGACTAACTTAGTCACTACAAACAAATTATCAACCACAGAGATGTTTTCATAAGATTAAGACTGTTTAATTTGTATTTTGTATCCTACTTGTACGATGTCTGGCTGAACCTCGAAGTTGGTCAACTTTGACTTGAAATTAAAAACTATTTGCACATGAAATCAAAATTCTAACAAATACGTTCTCTAAAACCATTTATTATTAATCATTTCTGAGAACTTACATTATTGTAAGGTAATCCAATTTTTTGCAAAAACACTTTTTGTAAGAGCCCACTTTTCACGATTTTTCACCGTTTTTTATATAACTGCGCATGCGTTGGACTCGTTTTTTGGAGACTGAAATTCTCACTTCCGTTAACGCCGTTTTTGGAGTTCGTCTAGACTGACAAAACATTTGCGTTGCCCATTGGTCGCCCTAATTTTGCTGACAACATCAAAATAGTCAACATGTCAGCCAGAGGTGCAAAGAAGAAGAAGCCTACATCCAAATCTGCAAAAGCCGGTGTGCTTTTCCCCGTGGCTAGAATGCGACGGTACTTGAAAGGGATGACCCATCATTTCCGTATCGGAGCAGGTGCTCCCGTGTATATGGCAGCTGTCATCGAATATCTAACGGGTACTGTGAATGCATATCGTGGTCACGATATTTTGGAAATAGAATTGAATATAGTTTGGGCTTTATTTTGTTTGGGCCCTTGCAGTGTCATTGATGGATTGCAGAATGTCTGGATTTTGCATACGCCCATCACGTAGATGCAGTTGAGCTGCATCTTACAGGCGCGGATCCACCTTTTTTCTCAGTCTTTAAATTAATTTAAAACTTAGTATTTTTGATTATGCTTATTGAAGATTTTTTATATTGAATTTTACTTGTAATGAAATTAATTTTAAATGAAATTCCACATTCTTGTCAATGAATATGTCAGATTAATTTATTTATTTTGTCCTCTAGCTGAAATACTTGAGTTAGCAGGCAATGCAGCAAGAGACAATAAGAAGGGTAGGGTGACTCCCAGACACATACTTCTAGCTGTGGCTAATGATGAAGAATTGAAGCAGGTAAGGACTAAGGGTTAGAAAAAAGGACTCATGCAGGCCTCAGAAGCCTTGATTTGTACTTCTTTTACTTGAACATGTAAAAATTCAATACAAATATGGGTTAGGACAGCCCACAGAAGCCTCTTCTATTCAGAGGCCTAATTAGATGCACAGTAAATGTCACTGGCAGATTTAAAAGGGGATCTCTCCCGTTAAAATGTTCAAATTAGAACTAAAAGCAAAAACTTCATCTAAGAAGACTTTATTTTTGCCCTAAAAAATTACCAGAATCCAGGAGCTTCAAAGGCTTTTCTCTAGGGCTACACCTTAAAATTGGACCCTATTGGGGAATCAAGGACCAGACTCCCTGACCCTGAGTTAACAGCAGGCAACCCCCCCCCCCTTGACAATGAACCTAGCGGGGTCTACCATTGAATGCTTTCCCACATTAAAAAGAACTGATTGAAATATATACTATATAATGTTTTAATATCTTTCACTTTTTTATCCTCAGCTTTTGAAGCATGTGACTATTGCCTCAGGAGGAGTGTTGCCATGGATACACCATGAACTCCTCCACAGAAAGAGGGGAGGAATTCAGATTAAATCCCCCGTCACTACAGCTACCACCGCTGGCCCCAGTGCTCCTAAAAAACCTAAGGTGATTCCTGCAGCATCACCACCGCCATCCCCCACCAAAGGGGGAAAAGCTTCCGCCAAAGCCAAGGCCATTAAACCTCCAAAGGTACTAAGGGCACATGAATTAATTTTAGTAATTATAAATAACACAATAAAATCAATCATAGTATGAACACTGGTCCCTGTGATTCAAGATTTCAGAATACACATTATCTAGATAAGACAAGTTTTACTGTAATAGAAATACACAATAAATACTATACTGTACTGGATAGGAGAAAAATATGTAACACTGTAATTAAAAGGAAAAAACTATCATCAGGAGTTTTCTGTACCTGTGGTATAATTTTTTTTTTTATTGATTTATAGGGATTCAAACCTTCAGCTGATGCAGTGGCTGCCACTTCCGGCGGAGGATTCACCATCCTGTCGGAAAAGAAACTATTTTTAGGACAAAAGGTCTCAATAAAAAGTTCACTTCATAAACCTGGAATACAAGTATTCATTGCCTGAGTTGTCTGTTTCAATGTCAATTCAACTAAATTTAATGTTTATTTATGTGAATTCCACTTATTTGCTTGTTGTACTTGTATCATTTGTGCAGTTTATATAATTGCATGAATGCTCATCAGTAAGAATGTTTGTGCATTCATATTCCAATACAGGCCTATTAGAATAAAAGTTAATTGCATTAGCCATTTTCACAGCTGAAGTGTATGTTTATGCATATATTTAAATTGTGTATTACATTGTAGATGACAGTTATTCAGGGAGATTTGGTCAAAATAACTGCAGACAGTATCGTGCATCCCACTAGTAGTAACTTTTACATGGGTGGAGAAGTAGGTATGTATGTATAAACATTCCTTGGTAACAAATTTATACATGTCATACCAATCAGTATAACATGGTGTATGCGGAATGATGAATTACTGTAAAATCATATATTTTCATTGGATCATATTTTCAAGGTTTAAGGAAGAAATATGGGCTTTGATTTTGTGGTTGGAAAAGGTTTAGTAGTAATTGTGTATCAAATTTTACATTTCATGTTGCTCATAAATTCAAGGATCTATCCATACCATGAAAACAAAGAAAATTAAAGTCCCAGAAAAAGATATTGTTTCACAGTAGATGAAATTTTTTTTATCAATTTTCAGGACAAGCAATGGAAAAAGCTGGGGGTAAAGAGTTCAGAAAAGAAATTGATGATTTAAGCAAAGCTCACGGAAATCTAGACACAGCAGGAGGTAAATTTTTTCATTTTCAAAAATAATGATGTAAAAAATTTTTTTACTGACTTCATTTTTATGCAATAAAATATGGGTAAAAAAACTTTCCATAAGTGAAAAGTGAATACTTGAAAAGATGCAGTAAGTTAGGCCTGAAAAAAATGTGTCTTCAGGGTTTCCAGCTAAATCAATCTTTATAATCCTAGGAATGCTGGGTAGTTGGTAAATTTTGGAAAAGTTTCTGCTCAGAAAAATCTTCTTTTTTTTTTCTACTGCTTATGCATGCAAAAATAAACAGAAGAATACATAACATTTAGCAGTAAGAACAAATGCTTAACATGGAACAAACTATTTTTAAAATGCATTTTCGATAATCTTCAACTTTGTAGTTACTTTAATTGGAGACAAATTAACATAATTTTCAAGGAAATGCAAGAAATTTTTAATAAGTCTCGTTTTCAGATTTCATTATAAGTTATACATGTATAACTTGATATTGAAATCAAAGCATTTTATGTTGAGTTGTCATCAATTAATGAACAAAACATAAAATTCACATGATTTACTAAAACCTTGTACCATATATGTTCTACTGATATCTTAAAATTGTATTAATGCTGTAGTACCATATGTATTTGATGTTTTAAATTGTAAATTGCCAAGTTACATGTACATGTACTTGCATGAGACTTTTAAAATGATTCTGATTCAAACCAAGAAGCATGCAAGATAGTACATTTAATTTTATCAATGGCAAATTTCAGGTGTCAGAAGAAAGGCTCACAAGTCAGAAGAAATCACCATTTTAGTTTTTGCATGAAATAACAAATTTAGCCTTATTTACAGCTGCAATCTGCCCAGGCCATAACTTTCCTGCCAAGTTTGTAATCCATGTTAACAGCCCTACATGGAGCGGTGGTACTGGTAACTCACAGCAACTTTTGGAGAAAGCTGTAAAGAATGTTCTGAAACTAGCCGATGAGAAAAATCTTAAATCTATAGCCATTCCCTCTATAGGCAGTGGAAAGTAAGTTAGGACGGCACTTCATTGCATGCTTCAGGGTTTCTTGTGTGTCCTACAGTACAGTTCATAATTTGTGGAAAGAGAAGAAGTACATGTACAATATCTTAAAATGATTTTTTGGGTACATACAGAGGAACCAATATTTAGGTTGGGTACATAAAATAATGAAAAATTTGAACAAATTTTTTTTCTTATACTTTTCCATGAAATTTTTAACTGTATTTTGGACACAGCTGTACTGCTTAATAAGTATGGCCTCAGGTTTTTTTCTTCAACTATTTTGTTGTATTTATATAGCTGCCATATGTCCAGGTCACAATTTCCCCGCCAAATTTGTAATACACTGTCATGGCCCAACTTGGAAAACAAATGATGCTATGCAACTGTTAGATAAAACTGTTAAGAGTTGTTTAATGCTTGCTGAGGAAAAGAATTTGTCCAGCATTGCTTTCCCATCCATAGGCAGTGGACGGTAAGATAAGCAAGTGAAAGAAATGCATGTACACAAAGTGCGTAGAAATTCTAAAATGACATGTCTCGTTCTATATGTAGTACATGTATATAGCATATTTAAAGGGGCAACTTTTATAATGCTTAAAAGCCTAACTGGGTTACTGGGGCTTGATTTTATTCAGCTACATACCGGGTACATAAATACTTTTAATGGCTAGGTGCTTAATAGTAAGAACTTTATATTAAGAAGATGCATGCAATCATCACTGGTTTGTTGACATGTACAGGATGATGAATTATTCTACATTTTCTTATGTGTAAACAATATCATTGTAATATTGTATTTTAATGTATTTTGAAAGTTTACAAAATCATTAGGGTTTTTTCTGTAAATTGTAAAATAACTATTCAGTTTTCATTCTAAAATTTTCTGTCAAAAGTTACTCTTAGGATTACCTGCTATAATACATGTAGTTGTTTGAATTTGTATTCTTTTTTTTCAGTGCTGGATTCCCCAAGCAGACGGCAGCACAAATCATCCTAAGATCAATCAGTAATTACTTTACGACCTGTATGACGAGCTCACTCAAACAGGTCTACTTTGTGTTGTACGACTCGGAAAGTGTAGCTGTGTATACAAGTGAGCTCGGAAAGCTGGATTCCTAGACTAGGAATCGGCAGGCGTTTGTCTATGGAGCAATTATGTAGATGTGTGTGTTAAAAATTGAAGAGAACTTTCTTTGGTGTTGTACCTTTCTTTTCAATGTACTGTTGACTTTTCCTTGTTGGTCTGTAGTTTAGCATAGAATTTCCATGAATGAATTGTGAATGGTGCAATGCCATGATATTTTATTTTAGATGTACCGGTAAATGTAAGTAAAACTTGTTAAAAATTATTTTGTTAAGAGTGCATAGTTTTAATTATCATACAGATTATTTTTGCTTGCACGAACAAAAATTTTCATTAAGTATATATGATTCTTGAAATCCTGAAAAAAATGTATAGGAACAAGAGCTATCCCCTCCCACTTTTCAGAAATTATTTATGCCTTTAACAGTAATGTTTTTATAGGAAGGGAAAATCAGCAACAAATTATTATACTGTATTATTATTGAACAAACATTTTTTTATATAGAACTGAGGTAACTTACATTAAGTTTTTATTTACTTAAAAAGTATTTTATACTTGGATGCTTCAACACTGTCTACAATTTTCAATATTGAATTATGCTGTCAGTGAAATTGATGTCTTTGATTTCTTTTGTTCTTGATTATCTTCAAGGGAACAAATAACCTTACTGTTCATTTATTCATTTTCAATGTAATAGTGGTAAACACATGTAAATGCAAATTAATATTATATACAATTTGAATCAAAAAACAAAATCAATTGTGATTGTACTTCAAAAGAAAATATTGAAATTCAGAAATTTTTATGATGCACATATATTGTAATTCATATTTTCATTAAGCTTCATGTAGATGAAATGTGTATCATTTTATGAGAGAAAATACTATACATGTATAAACATCAACAAAGGCAGCACTCTCAAATTGTATGAAAGTTTTAGAAAGTGAGAATTCATTAACTCTCTACTATGTCATGCATGTCTTTGTGGAAAGTAAAATATCCTCATGTATTAAGATACTTGGAGACTGTAATTAAAGTTTTATCATAATTTATTCTTGTTAATGTTAAATTTTAAAATCAATATTGCAAGTTATCTAGGTTGGTTAGATTTGTGAAACCATGCAGGAATGTTCCTCTCTTGTTAATATTTATAAATCAATCTATAGTCTTAATAGGTGCCACATTTTAAAGTTTGTGATATGGTCGTTTTGTTAAGAAAGTTATTTATTTTTAAAGTTTTAAACTTTTCTGTGTTGGTGGTTGGAATTGTTTTATTGAAATTTTATTTATGTTATTTTTAAAAAGATGTTGGGTGAAATTTTACCTCCATGCTGGCATACAACATCTCTAAACTATTTAACTTGTGTATGTCACTTTCATAAAGCATGTGTTTTTAATGTAGTGTTACAGTAGTGATTGTTAAGACAAATAATGAGTTGCATTTTAACATCTTTAATTTTATGTTTTGTGTTTTAATCTTTTATGTATTAACTTGACAGTTTAAATGGAAGTCATTTTCATGGTTATGTTTTACACTGTATTAATGTAGATTCACTTTTCAAAAATGTTGAAAGTTGGATATGAAAACCACACTATATTGCACTAGACATAATTTTCTTTTTCACTAGTGAATAAATGAGTAGATTCCAAATCAGATGCGTGTATTGTATTTGATAGGTTTAGTTAAATTTAAACACTTAATCTTATGTGGCAGACAGCCAGGTTTGATTGCCAGTGAACAAATAGCTCAGTCGGTAGATTACCTGACAGGAGATACAGGGGGCCCAGGTTCGATTCCCGGTCTGGTCAGCTGCATTTTTCTCCTCACCCATTACATTTGGTGCCTTGCCATGCCCTGGAACTGACAGGAGAGAGGCCTGCCAGGGATGAGCTTGAGTCTTTTGGGGTTGAAGACCTTTGAGGAGGGTGGAATGTGGTGGTCAGATGGGTTCGATTGCCATTGGCCAGTTAGCCTTAACAACAGATTACTCATCTTTCAGATACTGTAAAATCACATATTTTCATGTGGTCAAATTTTCATGGTTTGAGGAAAAACTCTTGGTCCGTGGTGAATTGATTTCGTGGATGTAGAATTGTTGAGTAGATATGTATGTTAACATTTTACATTTCGTGGTGGACATGAATTCGTGGGTCTTTTCATACCTCGAAAACAACGAAAATTAAACCACAAAAAGGAGATGGGTGAACATGACGAGAGATAAGCCCATAGCGCAACAAACATGAAGGTGAAAAATAAAATCTCAATTTATATCAAAATTTTCCTTGATATTTCATCTAACATTAGAGTATACTTTATGTAAAATCTCTACAACTTGCACAAATCTCGTGAAGATTGAAGTTATCTGCCTATGAAATTTTATACACGGACGAAAGAGGACAAAACGAGTCATTTTTTCACACTATAACACTATTTTTCGATACGAGTGGGTCTTCTCTCCATTTTTTTGAAAGTGAATCCTCAAAGTTTGCATACAAACACACATATTTTGGTCTCCAAAATTATGGAGCAAAGACCCACTATGCCCTAAAAAGATAATTTTATGACAAAACTTTCGTATCTTTTCGAGAAATAATTGAAGTCCCTTAAGTCAATGGTCATATCACAAACATAATTTAAATGCCCCACTTCATCAGGAATTGTGTAGTGTAGTGGTTAGCATGCTAGTCTCGGTAGAGAATGTACCTCCGGATTTTTATTGACAGGGTTCGAATCCAATGAATATACCACATAATTTTTTTTTTATAAAAGAATAAATTTGAACAAAAAATTTTCCTCAAAACTTTTTGTTTATCATGATTTCATAAAAATCAATGATGATAATTTTACTCTAAATACTAAATTTACAATTTGAATATGAGTTTTATATATCTGAAGCTAGTGGGCTTTCTGCACACTAAGTTCACCCATCATCTTTGTGATTCCACAGTAAATACATATGGCTTAACCCAGTATGACTGATTGTTAGGGAATGTTTACTCCTCCTAGGCACCTGATCCCACCTCTGGAATTTCCAGGAGTGTTTTATGCCCTTTTCACAGATATGTATTGTTTGTAGACTTTTTCAAGATCAGTCTCTTGTTTAGTTATCTTCATCACTATCATGGACATCTAACAAGACCTCTTTTCCATGTTAATAGATGTACGCCATTCTACAAAACTAATGAAATTCATGGCACCAAGCTTATAGTTAAAGCTCCTGGGCAGGGCTTAGTTGGTCATATACTGAAAATACATTGCACCTGTGAAAAAACTTTCATTTACTCATGGACATCATGCAGGCAAATTGATGAATGATTTTCCTAGAAGCAGTCAGTCTTTTTACAAAATCAAGACAGGAGTTGGTCTAAGCGTTAAAATTTTTGATGAGACAAAACTTACAGTGACCATAACTTGAAAAACTACTAATACTTGAGTGGCCATAAGTGGGCATTAAAGTCAATAGGTCAAATTAATGCCATTGTCGCAAGTCAGGTTTTGTGTCCATTTTATTCCCACAAACCTGTGGCTGTATGAGACAAAATTCTCTTGTTCTCATGAATATTCATAAATGCTTTTAACCAATGAAGTTTGTTGGAATAGAATGGACACAAAACCTGTGGTTTGCAACGATAACTTAATGCATGCTTGAGTGTACTTTAAATTCTTGTAAAAAATTTTCAAGTCATCAATGTCAAAGAATTTACAATGACTAACACTACATACTTATAATACAAATTGAAATTACAATAAACAGTAAGTTGGGTTATATTTATTTAAAAAAATATATACAATATAAACAACAATCAACAGACAATTAACCTGGAACATAGATAAAAATTATTGCACTTATTATATGGAATGTTTTTGTACTGGTTCATCTCTTTTCCAAGGCTTTAAATTTACTCTCTGAAATAAAAAAAATAATTTGTGCAAGATTTCAAATAAACAAGAACACATGTATATGTATAACTGTATACATGTATGGGATAGTACTTGTATAATAAAATTGATGATAACAACAATATAGAAACTTGCTACCACTAAAATTTTCATTACAGGCATATACATATACATGTAATATAAATACATGTACAATAACAATGGAAATCTTTCCACAAGAAAAGTTAGAAAACAATTGTCAGTGTGCTTTCATCTTTCAGAAGGCAATACTGTTTTTAACAAATTTCAAAATAGGCTACATTATAAGCCTTTATTAAAGAATATGAATTTTTTTTCTCAGTAAACCATAATAATTATCTTGGACAATAAAAGATTTTCATACAAACCTAACCGCTTGGAATAGTTATCCAGTTTATACGCTGCTTGTTCTAGTGCTGTCACATTCTCATCAATCTGATTGATTTGTTCCAAGTAAGGTTGAAGGTTACTATCTGCAAAAACAATGTAACACACCTATAACCAATACTATCCACAACCTTACATTATATATCAATGAGAGAAGTCATGAAGGTGCTTCAGTCTAAGAGAATACCTTATAAGAATAATGAGGTTTACTGTTTTCGCAATATACTTCTAGTATGTAAAAAGTTATGGTAGACTGACACAGGTAATACACACGTGAAATATGAACAACATATCTTTGATATATTAGAAAATTTGGTCAAATTCAAGGTCAACACCACTGGGTACAAATCAATATAATTTGGAAAAGTCTTGGTCAGAGGTAAAGAATTAATGTTGTTCAAGGTTATTTGGGAAAAAACTGAAGTAAATTTGAAAGATCTTCTCATGAGTTTACACATGAAAGTCCTATTTCCAAAGTTATAACCTAGGTTATAGGATTTTGTAACAGACTTTCAGATGGACAAAATGAGTATAATGTCCCCTCACTCTCAAAAGGCAACCGATATATAACTTGAAAATAAAACAAGAGGCCCACAGGTATTATAGGTCACCTGAGTATCGTGCAACAACTTTCAAACAATTAAAATTGGTTCATGTTTTAAACCAGAGGCCATGAAATTCACAATTTTGAAAGAGGCACCATATTGCTTATCATAATTATAAACTTAGCATGCTTACTCTATCTACCTAATACCCAGATGTAGATCAGAGTAACAAAGAGAAAATGCACTTCCACTTTATAACCAGTTGTGCACCTCATCCCAAAGGAACCACTGACCCTGGGGCCACATATTTCAAAATTTTGCAAATTTTATCATAAAATGGTTGATTAATACTAAAGAGCAGATTTCAAAGCATTAATTTATTTTCAGACTATGACCCCCCCTCCCCCCTCCCGACCAGGGGGCATAAAAAATAACCATTTTGCTAGATGCACCTTTCTTCATCATAAATATATATACTTGGATCATTGGCATAAACCCAGGAGCAAAGGAAAAGATTTTCAAAGAATTAATGCATTTTCACTATATAATCATTAGAGCCCCACCTTAATACCAGAACCCCTGATCCTGGGGCCATAAAATCCACAATTTTGGAAGAGACAATCTTTCTTAACATAACTATGAACTTAATTAGTTTATTTAATACCCAGAAGCAGAGAAAACGATTTTCAAAGAATTAATGCATTTCACTATCTGATCAATAGAGCCCCGCTCTAACACCAGAACCCCTGACCCTGGGGCCACAAAATTCACAATTTTGGAAGAGGCACTCTTGCTCAACATAACTATGTGTTTACCCCGGTAGTTAGTTCATTCAATACCCAGAAGCAGAGAAGAAGATTTTCAAAGAATAAATGCATTTTCACTATATATGATCAAAAGAGCCCCACCCTAACACCATAACCCCTGACCCTGGGGCCATAAAATTCACAATTTTGGTAGAGGCACTATTGCTCAACATAACTATTTACTTAGTTAGTTTACTTAATACCCAAGAGCAGAGAAGAAGATTTTCAAAGAATAAATGCATTTTCACTATATGATCAATAGAGCCCCGCCCTAACACTAGAACCCCTGACCCTGGGGCCATAAAATTCACAATTTTGGTAGAGGTACTCTTGCTCAACATAACTATATACTTAGTTAGTTTACTTAATACCCAACAGCAGAGAAGAAGATTTTCAAAGAAATAATGCATTTTCACTATATAATCTATATAGCCCCGCCCTAGCACAAAAACCCCGACCCAGGGGCCATGAATTTCACAACTTTGGTAGAGGACTCAATGCTCATTACATTCATGCCAACAGTTTGCCTGCTTGATGTCCAGGAGTAAAGAAGAAGATTTTTAAAGATTGCAATAATTTTGGTGGTTTTGGCCCCACCCCTCAGGCCCCAGGGGGGCGGGGACCATAAAATTCATAATTTTTGTTCCCCTTCACCCATAAGTGCTGTATACCAAATTTGGTTGAAATTGGTTCAGTGGTTTCAGAGAAGAAGCTGAAAATGTTCAAATGTTAACACACGACGGACGACGACGGACGACGACGGACAAAAGCAGATAGCAATAGGTCACCTGAGTTACTCAGGTGACCTAATAAAATAGAGTGCATTTTAATGCGTGGATAAACTTATCTAAATAGGAAGAGTTAACTCAATGACTTACATTTCTCATTGAGTTCCTGGAGTCCTTTACTGATGTTTTCTGTAAATTCTTTCATATCGGTGTACTTTGTAATTGTGATTCTATTGAGTGTTTCCAGGAGCTTGTAGTCTTCAATTGTTCCTACAATGTCCAAAAACATAAAAAATAAGTCTTCAAATAAGAGAATTGTATACTTTCTAGAAAACTTTGACATGCCAGTAGTGTTTAAGGTACCTTCAAGTTCTCCATGCAGATACTCGGCTGACTTTTGGAATGTTTCACGACATAGCTGTACTACATCAGGGGGTGGGGGCTCCTTAACCTCCTCAGCTACTTCCACTTCTACTTTCTCTAACAATGGAATGTAAACTTTTATGATAATTTATAGGGTTTACCGTTATATAAGTATTAGAAGATTATTCTTGCAATATTACTTATATCATGACATTTGATACTAAATTTTGTAATACCGGTAATTTAATTTTAAGACACCCTTAACAAATGCAAAGTTTGTTATAAACATACACGTGCGAAGCTAAAAATAAGCAATGAATCAATAAACAAATTACACATTAAAATATAACTGAAATGTTTAATTTTCTTCCCTGGTACTGTTCTATCGAAATATTTTAGAAACATCATGGCAGAAGTAGGTTTTAAAACAATTACGATCGACAAAACGTTTTTAATAATGTGTTCTGGTATTAGTTAAAGCGTCTATATCTGTATATGAGGCCTAAAAAAAAAAAAGTTTGTTTCCTGTAACCCGACCGACCCATTAAAATTAACCCCAGGTGGATTTTTTTTCTGACAAATGGCAAAACTGAGTTTGATCAATCAGCTGACTCCATTTATTTTGAAAAAAAATTAGCTTGTAGCTAATATATGTCAACCTAGTTTACATTTACCTTAAATATGAAGAATAAACATTAATGTAACAACAATTTCCCCCTATAACTTTCTGAAGTTCGTTTTCTGCTGCTAGGCAGTCAATTTGGATGCCATTTTGGGTGTCCACTGTAAATATGACACCTGGTATATTCAGTCCGGGGATGTTTAACCATTCATAAGAAAAAAAAAAAAAAAAGAATTCCCTACCGACCCTTAATTTTTAGGGAATGTTACAGGAAACAAACATATTTTTTTTTAAGCCTGATGAAATGGAAAATATTAAATTTAAAACCCAACCAAAACAAACCTTGGACAAACAGACCGATTTTACTACCGGTAGTTAGTACGGCTGACTTCGATCATGAACTGTTGTTGAACTAGAGTAACATCGAACCCGATATAGTTTAACTGGAGTGACATAATTTTCCTACCATAGTTCTACCTCGTGTTTTCGTTGGTAGAACTATGGTAGAAAAATAACGTAACTCCAGTTAAACTATATCCGGTTTGATGATACTCTAGTTCAACAACAGTTACTCAAGTTCATGATCGAAGTCAGCCTACATTGGACTATTAAGATTTTCACCTGTTTCGTCCGACGGACTGGTGCTTTTGGAATAGACTGCCTTTTAAAGGTAAGAAACGAATTTTTTTTGTAGTGATAAAGACTTAAAAGGGTGTCCAAGGAAAAAAGTTAAAGCGGGCATCTACTTTATTTCAGCCCATACTGATTGAAACGAGCGGTCGAAGTCAGGGCAAAAAACCCGAATTACGTTGTATAGGATTGCTCTGAGATCAGTGAGATGTCAAAGTCGACACCAGACCAAAATTTTACTCTCTACCACATCTCGCTGAGATTAGGGAATGTACTTTAAACCTTGACAACCACGCCGAGGGTATAAAAGCTCATCTCGACTTCGTCTAAAAACTAAGTTAGTATCTGCACTCGCCCTTACAGTCGCACTGTCAACATGTTATAATGGATCAAAAATTTATAAAAGAAACAAGTGCCTTTGATTTGAACCATCAATACAGACTCCAGTGTTTTTTTGTCTTTTGATAACCAACAAATACAAAGAAAGACATTCTCAGTGGGTACTCAGGGTTGTGAGTAATTATTCTGATTAATTGAAAACATATATACACGGCAGCATAGAGAACTATTGCATTAAGAAAATAACCTTTTTCTTCTTTCGTTTGCTCATCTGCCATCTTTTATCTTAGATTGAAGTTAACTCTTCCCTGAAAATGTCGCATTTGAGTGGTAAAGGAATTTGTACTATAAGCTAGTTTTTTATTTCTTAATATCTTATATCATTTCACTATATTTTTATAAATGAGAAGGTCTCATAATGACAAATTCATGAAATTTTGCAAACCATTTTGTGGTAGAATTGTCTATCATTTACATACATCATTAAAAAAAAATATTATTTTCATTGCTAACCATTAATTAACGAAAAATTTATGGATTATTTCATTTTCTTGCTAAAAGTAAACAATTATATCGTTTTATAGATAACATAATAAAGTTGAAAAAATATTCATCTTCTATTTATTTTAAAAATGCTATAAGCGGTCTTAAACTTTCTTTAAAAGTTGCCTCGTCATTTTAGAAAAAGCTAATATTTGTAAATTATGGCATCATATTTTGATGAACATGATTGCGAACCTTTAAAAGATGGTGAACAGCCTAATCATTTACTTCACATGGCCAGGTAAGAACTGTTTATTATTTATTTTGTACCATTCTGAAGATGGTTCAGTCAAATAAAAGCTTCTCAAGTTTCTGTAGATTTCGGGTGACTGGAAAAACCCGAAACCCCACCATTTTTGGAGAATACCCATACAGGAGGGGTGAAACCCCAATAAAGTGGTGGAAACCCCATAAAATTGAACGTAATGGGGTACAATAAGGCCTAAGGTGATTTTTAATTGAATGATATTGACATCCGTAAATTTTTATAGCCAATTTTACCTCAGAATCGACGGAAATTGGGCGCCATTACGAGTTTACCGTACACCACGCCCGATCTAAATTCGAAGCGAGCTGTTTGTTAATATAATTGTATAGATAATATTAAAATAATTCATAATTATTTCCACAATTATATTTGTTTCACAATGATAATAGTAAAATATTAATTATGTAATAAGTATTTAACAAAAAATGTAAGGACGTTAGCCATTAAGAAAATATGAATTTGTGTATTAATTATTATACATATTATCCCAATGTTACCAGCTCTAGCCACGTGGAGGCCTCCTTTTTGTAGAGCCATAATTTTAAAAAAAAATTTCATTTAGGATATTTTAGAGAATATCTGAATTTAGAGATATGAAAATATCCAAAAGCTTCAAAGCAACATTAACAAAAAAAAATAGTAAAGATAATTCATTACTATAATTCATTACTTATTTGTTACAAAGAGAATATAAAAAATAAATAAAATTCAAAATATGAAAATTCTGAATTTATTTTTGAGATTTTAGACAAATTCTGAATGTAGGGATATAAAAATTTGAAATTCAAAGGTTCAAAGCAACAATAAAAATAATAATTACTTAATATATGTTAAAAAGAGAACAAAAAATAAATCAAAGTCAAAAGATGAAAATACTGAAACCTGAAATAAATAGTAAATTAAAATAATATATCAATTTTCAAATATATAGATATTTTATTTCAAAGTAACTTTTTTATGTTCTTTTCTTAGAAAAAAAAATTTTTACATCAGTTGTTTACATTTTGAATTGTCTTTAAATTATACAACATATATGAAATAAAAGAAAAAAACAGAAGAAAAAAAAATCACACAACAAAATAAAAGAACTGAAGTTTTGATGGAATTTTAACTATGAAAAATGTCTGTTTGAACTGGTTGAAAGATAACTGAAATTATTTGATCATTTCCAAGCACAGGTATTTTATGTAATTTTAATCTTACATCAACTGACGGTACTACCACTATAGTTAGACCACGTACCTTAGGTAAAAAGATAGGTCAACAAAAACGTAAAAAAGTGGACAGGACTACAACTTTAAAAAAATCTAAAATACAGTAGATCAGAGGCCAATAATCAGTCAGTCTTAAACCAAAAAACAAAACCAAAAATGTTTTTAAGATTGTATATTTATTATTTTTTCTAGAGTAGGGCTAGTATCAGGCAGTATTCCTCCCCCGCCAGACGGGTGCAGACCAGTGAATACTGTTTGGTGTTGTGTTAGGTTAGAAATTGAGTAGGATTAGTATCAGGCAGTATTCCTCCCCCGCCAGACGGGTGCAGACCAGTGAATACTGTTTGGTGTTGTGTTGTGTTAGGTTAGGTTAGGTTAGGAATGTTATTGTTTTTTTAAATGTTGCTAATTATGTTCCCCAAACGAAGTTGGGGAACATATTGTTTTTACTCTGTTTCTTATTATGTCGCCCCGAACGAAGTCGGGGACGACATATTGATATTGTACGCATGTTTTTTTTATCCAGGCTGTTTCTCGGAGATGGCTGGGACAATCTTCCTGAAACTTTCCTTCAAGGACGATCACTGGTTGTAGTTGTGCAGTGAGGTCGTTCAGTTCCAATATGTCTACCGTTGCCATGGAAACCTGTAAAAAGCGACAAATTTTGTCCGAGAGTGTTCTCTCTGGTCCCTTAAACGTTCGTCATGAAACTTTTCTTATTTTAATGATTAGTATCTGTAGTTCTGCAACTCGTATTTAAAATTTTCATATAATCGATTATTGCCATGGAAACCAGGTGAAAGTTAAAATTCTTTAATTTCGATTTTCTCAATAACTACTCAGGCAATCGTTTTGAAACTTTCAATGTTTATTCCTTGCAATGTGTCAAAGTGATTTCTACTTTCAAAATAATTGTAATGAGTCGCTCACGGTTGCCATAGAAACGAAACAGAAAAAAAGATTCAGATGTACACATGTGTTCTCCAAGGTCTAGGTCAAAGGGTCAAAGTTCGTCGTATCCAATAAAAGTTCTTTTCACAAGGATTACATATTTGAAATACGAAAGCCCTAGTACTTACCGTTCAAACGTTATGGCTATTTACTATGTTCAAGACGCCCCCCCCCCCCCTCTTTTTATGAAGCACACAGCCAAGTAGAATACACAGATATAACATATACAACTTACAAGTAACTTTTTAAAATCTTCATTCATAAAATTCAGTTCCCGTCATGTGATATTTTGCCATCATTCATTCTCCTTCTGTTTTGTCTCTTGAATTTATAAATATTTTATTTTATCTATATAAAAAAAAAATAACGATTGTCAGCTGCATTTATTATCATTTCGCGTTTTCTTGTATATCTATCACTTGTATATTATTCATTTCATTAGATAGTGCAAGTATAAATTAAAAAATTGGTACGTCATTTCCATAGTTTTTATTCATTCATAAATTCTTTGATCCGCTCCTGATGATTCGCAAAGCCTTGATCACCACTGTATACAAAACATTCATCTCGCCGAAAATGTTCATGATTCCGCTAAACTGAGAAAGTTCACACATGATTTATTATCTCATAACACACATCAGCTCTCTGCAATGCAGAAATGCTCGAATTGAAGGGGAAAATTCAGGAGTTATTGATGAGAAAAATTCAGGAGTTATTATGTCGCCCCGAACGAAGTCGGGGACGACATATTGATATTGTACGCATGTTTTTTTTATCCAGGCTGTTTCTCGGAGATGGCTGGGACAATCTTCCTGAAACTTTCCTTCAAGGACGATCACTGGTTGTAGTTGTGCAGTGAGGTCGTTCAGTTCCAATATGTCTACCGTTGCCATGGAAACCTGTAAAAAGCGACAAATTTTGTCCGAGAGTGTTCTCTCTGGTCCCTTAAACGTTCGTCATGAAACTTTTCTTATTTTAATGATTAGTATCTGTAGTTCTGCAACTCGTATTTAAAATTTTCATATAATCGATTATTGCCATGGAAACCAGGTGAAAGTTAAAATTCTTTAATTTCGATTTTCTCAATAACTACTCAGGCAATCGTTTTGAAACTTTCAATGTTTATTCCTTGCAATGTGTCAAAGTGATTTCTACTTTCAAAATAATTGTAATGAGTCGCTCACGGTTGCCATAGAAACGAAACAGAAAAAAAGATTCAGATGTACACATGTGTTCTCCAAGGTCTAGGTCAAAGGGTCAAAGTTCGTCGTATCCAATAAAAGTTCTTTTCACAAGGATTACATATTTGAAATACGAAAGCCCTAGTACTTACCGTTCAAACGTTATGGCTATTTACTATGTTCAAGACGCCCCCCCCCCCTCTTTTTATGAAGCACACAGCCAAGTAGAATACACAGATATAACATATACAACTTACAAGTAACTTTTTAAAATCTTCATTCATAAAATTCAGTTCCCGTCATGTGATATTTTGCCATCATTCATTCTCCTTCTGTTTTGTCTCTTGAATTTATAAATATTTTATTTTATCTATATAAAAAAAAAATAACGATTGTCAGCTGCATTTATTATCATTTCGCGTTTTCTTGTATATCTATCACTTGTATATTATTCATTTCATTAGATAGTGCAAGTATAAATTAAAAAATTGGTACGTCATTTCCATAGTTTTTATTCATTCATAAATTCTTTGATCCGCTCCTGATGATTCGCAAAGCCTTGATCACCACTGTATACAAAACATTCATCTCGCCGAAAATGTTCATGATTCCGCTAAACTGAGAAAGTTCACACATGATTTATTATCTCATAACACACATCAGCTCTCTGCAATGCAGAAATGCTCGAATTGATGGTGGCATGTCAGATTCGTTTTTCGGTAGAACCTCTAAAATGAAAGTGAAAGAGGGAAATTTCAGAGTTCTCACTGGCGTTACAATACACAAAATAATTCGGCTGATCTTCTTCATAAATTACATTTCCCAAGCTTTTATCATAGGAAAGATACTGCCAATTAACAAGTATGAGGCTCAGTTCAGTACATCTGCCAGATTTCTTTTATGCAAGTCTGCAAATTGAGGAACTTGTAATTTTCCTGCACTACTTTCTTCTCCTACCGATTCTAAAAATAATGAGTGGGATGTACCGAATTAAGGTCTTCCGTTTCCAATGGAAAGGACTGATATAACTCAATGGTTGTTCAAACTTAGCTTATGGACTTTTGTTTTAGTGATGATAAAAATGAAAGTCTTGTCTAATACGGGGCGACATATGCTATTGCTTGCAATAGCAGACTTTCTAGTTATTATTATTATTTTTCTTCTTCTTCTTCCTGGGTACTTTTTTGTCCGGGAATGATCTTGTAAACTGTTCGTCCGAGGTAGGTAAAACCTTTTTAGGGTAAGTAGACATGTTATGCAGATTTGCGGAATCAAGGTCATTTTGCGCGCACGTGCTTGCAAGAGCGCGCACGTGCAACACTTGAAATAACCAATATAATAGATATAGTCGGAACTTTTCTATTTTTTGATAAAATGCTTTGAAACTCATAATGTAAGGATACATTAGTAGTATAGACAAGATGGCATGGTCAAAATAGCAAGATCTCACGCGCATGCACGTGCGCTTCGCTCTGATTGGCTGAAACTAAAGTCTCAATATCTTTCTTGTTTCTTGTCATAATCTTTTGAAATTTTGAACATGGTCCTACATTATGAAGATCTAGAGCATGATATATTAAAATTTTAATAAAAGCATGCGCATGCGCGCGTGCTGCAATCTGATTTG